TTTAGAACTTCAATGATTCTTTTGCACCTAAAGCTTTAAAGCCAAGCCTTTAGTTTCGAAGCTTCTGGCTGGATCCCTGGGACTCACTGAAAGTTCTAAACTGGGAGCCATCATAACTACTCGACACCGTGCTAGCCAGGCCTAAGCAACTGGAAACCTTCAAGCTCCAGGGAGCTTTAAAACAACCCTAAAGATGCCCTGATGCCCTGTTAGTATGCAGCAGCCACAGCAGCCGTGGCCCTCTATCCCTGGCAGAACTGGGGGTCCATTCTTCTGGGCCAGGGATTGGTAAGGAGTTAAATTAACTAGGACAATTTGCCAAGGAAATAGAAGAACACTCATCACCTACAAGATGTTTTTTTTCTTTCTTTCTTCCTTAGTCATTTAGAAAAACAAAGGGAGGGAAGATGCCATAGGCAGAAATCAAGTGTTTGGACAACAAAACCCTGCCAGGGAGTTGGCCAAAGGCCCATCAAGCCTTCAAATGAAACTATTGTTCTTAAGATAACAATTCAAATGTAAATCTGCCTTCCAAATAAAAAGTAACAATTCAAATGTTGGAGGTCATTAGGAAAAGTCAACAGTGGCCAGAGAAGGACAAAGACAGACCAGTACCAGGGCTCTAAGGATGACACTGCACTGGCTGGGGGCCAGAGCCCCAGGCAGCCTACGTGTCTAAGGTACCTGGCCCCGTGCCCTGCTCCCCCTCTCTCTTGAGGCCCTCCTAGCTGGGGTGGTGATGAGATAGCAAGCACAAACCCCGCAGGTGAACAAAGTCAACACGAATGTGGTTCACTGACTAGAAGAAAGCCACCCGGACAGGCACTGAATTCCACTTCCAGAGGAACCCTTTGGCCTGCTCCACTTCCAAAATACTCACCAAGCTGCAGAACTGTCTGGCACACCCAAGGGCTAGGACAGGTGGTAGGCTGGGTCCCACTGGTAGGCTGTCCCTGCCTGCTGGTGAGCACAGAACCCTTTCCTCCTGTCTGATCCACCCCAGCGATCGTCAGCAGTCAGCTTCATGCGTCCTGCCACCTGCTTGTCCCAGGGTGATGATGCTATTCAGCACCAGACTGAGTGCAAGCGGAGGGCCTGGAGAGGTCAGATACAGAGAGGAAGGGACGCTGGCCCAGGTCTCATGCGCAGGCTGTGCTCCAGCATCTCAAGCTCACGCTTGGAGGTAGGATTGCCAGACATAGGGGAGAAAGAATGGGAGAAAGCACAGTCCAGGACCCGGCACAGTAGCCTAGCTGCCAAATTCTTTGTCTTGTACACACCAGGATCCCATATGGACGCCGGTTTGGATCCCAGAGGCCCCACTTCCCATCTAGCTCCCTGCTTGAGGCCTGGGAAAGCAGTCTGAGACGGACCAAAGCCTTGGGACCCTGCACCCATGTGGGAGACTTGGAAGAAGCACCTGGCTCCTGGCTTCAGATCAACACAGCTCTGGGGAGTGACCCGCTGATGGAAGATCTTTCTCTTAGTCTCTCCTCTTCTCTTATATCTGACGTTCCAAATAAATAAACTTTTTTTTTTTTTTAAGAATGTGAAGTTCAGGGAGTACATAATTTTTTTAGAAGTATGTCCTAAATGCATGAGCTACACTTAGACTAAGGGAAACTATTCAAAATTTAGATTTAGTGGAGAATCTTATGCTTTATTTGACAGTACTACTCAGAGCGGAGTGTTCTCCCAGTGTGTTCTCCCCATCTGGAAAAGGAGAGAGCCAGACCAGGCGGGATCCATGGCTGCTTAAGCCTGCAGAGATGTGGAGTCTCCCCCTACGACTCTGGACGCCTTTCTCTGAAGTACCACCAGAGGGCGCCCTAACCCTTCTCCCAGGCTAGTGACTGGGCCGGGAGGCAGTGTGGTCCAGCTGGCTGTGCATGACCGGCTGGAAAACAGGTTACAAGGCCCAGGAAGGCCCAGACTTGCCCTTATCCTTAGGACAACCTGTCGAGGATGACACAGAAGACGTCTCAGCCTCTGACAGCAGGGTCCTTGCATCCGGTGCCCCATCCAGCCTTATGTAGGAGACTGAACCTTGGAGGGAAGTCCCCCCATCCCAGCTCACACAGCTGATCTGGGAGGCAACTTCCTAACCCCATGTCCAGGCACCTTTGCCTCTTGAGGGTGCTCTTATTTTCCTGTTTTGTACAGGACGCATTTAATCCTTGTAGTCCTACAGTCAAGACCAATGCTGACACCAGTCTGCCCGGTATAGCCAGAGAGACCTGAGACAGCCCTGCTGCCCTTCATGGCCTTGACGCAGGAAGCACCATGTCTGAGAGGACCAGGGATGAGGACTGTTCCAGGCAGATGGGAACGAGCAGGCTGCCACCTTTCAGTTGGGAGTCACAGAGGGAGTGATGGTGGTGGTGATGGTGAGACTGTACCTCCCCACTGCACTCGGCTGCCTGGGCAGAGACAGTTAGCATCAGGAGCTTGCAGGTGGGGACACAACCCAGAGCGTTGGGCTGTTTGACTCAAGGATCAAGAGTCAAGAGAATGAAGCTGCCACTCCTAAGCATGTCCTGTTTCACTCAGGCCAGCCAATACCTCCTGCATGACGACTCCTGGAGGACTCCGCCCTCACACACACACACACACACACACACACACACACACGCACACACACATTACCCAGAGGGGAGTGCCTACCGCTTCACCCAATAGATGGTTTTAAGCAAGGCACACATCTCCTTTGGACTATCCCATTTTTAAAGGAAGCATCTCTATGTTTTGTTTTGTTTTGACAAATGTCATTCTTCAAGCAAGGATGCATTTATAACCGCAGTACAATGTGAGGTGCAATGTATCTTGGTTTGTCCTTATACTTGACCTTTTATTCCATTTATCTGGATGCTGAATTTCATGTGAAGTAGATACATTTTTTTTTCCTAAAACAATCTTAGCATTGCTTTGTCTTCTTTGGTTGGGGAAGGAAATGGAAGCACTGTGTTTGGCACCCGAGGGTCTGAGGAACTTGAGGACTCACCAGCAGGGCCGACAGCCAACCCTGCACTCCCACAGCCCCACACTGAGTCTTCCCATCTTCTGGAGGCAAGCTTTTCCCTGAAAACTCCTAGCAGCTCCCAGTAGGGGCATGCCCAGATATGGGGGAGAAAGCTCCATTTCCCACTGCCCCATCACATGCCCACATTGCCCAGCCTGCATGAACCTCAGGTCGCTGGTGCTGTGCCCTGTAAGGCTGGCCTGCCCCAGGCTGGCCAAGGCCCACAATGGAACATTCATGTCAGTAGGACTGATGTGTCATGCTTCACCCTCCCCCAAAGGGACATGTGTCCGTGGCACTTTCTGTGACAGCCCCTTGCTTGATTTCTCTCACAGCATGCATTTTGACAACAGTGGTATTGGTCAGGTATGTGCTGTCTGCTTCCCTAGAATGGAAGGAAGTTCCTGGGAGCAGGACCCGCTCCTCCCCCGGGAGACTGCAGGGGAGTGGTATGTAACACCTGCAGCCCCTGAAAAGCAAGGGCAGAGTGGGCAAGGGGGACTTAACCCGTCCCTGCCCAGATGCCTAGAGGTGGTGAGGCAGGCTAGTGTTGAGATTGCCTGTCTCAAACAGCCAGGACCAAACGAGACTGGTTCTTCTACCCCTCTCCCTTCCAGGAATGTAGAAAACAATAGTCTGACAGTCAGACTTTTCTGGCACTTATTTTTATAATTGCAAACTATGAGTCAACTTCTAGACCTGAAGAACACTTCCTGGGCCTGTTTCTCCATTGCTGAGGGCAGCACCAGGACAGCAACCTAAAATGTCACACAGGGCTCATGGACCTGAGATGAGCTGGCACGGCAATGCCCACTGGAACTCTTTAGTGATGGAAGGAGGAGTTGGCGATGTGGCATAGTACATACGGCTGCTGCCTGAAATGCCAGCATCCGCGTGAGGACCAGTCCAAGTCCAGCTGCTCCTCTTCTGATGCAGCTCCTGCTCACGTCCCTGGGAAGTGCCTCTGCGCCCACGTGGGAGGCCTGGACGGAGCATCAGGCTCCTGGCTTAGGCCCGCTCCAGCGTCAGCCATTGTGGCCATTTAGAAGTGAACCAGATGATGAACCATCTCTATGTGTTTCCCCCCCTCTAGAATTCTGCTTTTCAAATACAATTAATAAATCTTCAAAATAGATATTCTAGGCCCGCCTGTTCCAGATAACCACTAGTCACTAATAACCATCAAGCATTTGAAATGTGTCTGTTGTTACTGAGACTAAATTTTATAAATCGTAGTTAAATTTCAAAGCTAGACAGTCACACATAATGGCTACCATACAGGACAGTGTAATGCTTTGATAATACTAGAATAATAATGCTAAATAGAGTATCTAGCATAACTAATAATTCCATAAGGGAAGTAATACATAGTTATAATTCATAACTCATCATTGTGTGGTATTTTACAATGAATATGATACTACTAGAATGTGTGCCCTGCTACTGTACACACTCCTGGCCCTTGCCACTCTCGACATCTTGCAAGTTAGAGTGAGTGATGCAGTTAAGAGTGGTCTGTCCTTCCTTGGACTTCAAGTCCCCGCAAAACACGTGCTTGTCTTCACAGGCACAGCTGTGTGCTCAGTGCCGGGCAAGTAACCCGATGTGGAGACATCATACTTGCGTGCTGAGTGACTGAATGAATGAGCGAATGTCTGGCTAACAAAAGGAGGCAGGCACTGAGAGTGGAACACCCCGATGAAAGTGGGTCAGAACACAGATCATTAAGTGAAAATAGCTAAACAAGTGCTGCTGGCAACATGCGTCCCCTGTGCGGGGCGCGGGCTGTGTGTGCGGAAGCATCATGGACGCGTGTGTGCAGAGAAGCACGATCGTGGGGCGTTGTAAGGTCTGCCTTGTGCAGTCCGTGAAGGCGCAGTGTGTCTGGGTGTGAAGCCCGGGGGGCCTGGATCCCCAGGGGTCTGTGTGTGCCGGGAATGAAGGGACTCAAGCGAAGACACACGCACATCCAGCCAGGTGAGCAGTTTCTACGTCATTACTGTTTATTTTGAAAGGTTTGTCAAACTCTTCACAACGTGGCTAGAGTTTGCAAGATTAATGAGGAGCAGCTTTTTCATGACATGCTTGGAGGTGAAAGAGTTCTCAGCCTGTGAGAGCCAACCATCCCTTGATGTTGCATTTTCATTGGATTAATAGAAGGGGGGAAAAGGGATACGGCAAGGAAGAAGCTACTTATGAAAAAAAAAAAAAAACAACTCACCAATCCCACTTTGTCTAGTTCACAACTTTCTCCATCCCCTGAAAGGGCCTCACCATCCCCAGAGGCTCTGATAAGAGGCCACGGTCTCCCAAGTGCCTTACAAGGCGGAAGCCCTGCAGCCCATGGTGGAAATACTCCCAGGTGGACAGGACTGGCAGCTATAGCTGGTTAACTGCACAGCTTCTCCCACCGCTGGGCCTCCTCGCAACATTCCTGCCAACATCACCTTTCCGTGACTTTCCTTTGCCACCTGCAGCTCACCTGGTGACGGCCTCCCCAGGCAGCCCATACCATGAAGTACAACAAGCACAAAGTCTGCTTGGTTGAGCGTTTGCTGCACGCAGAATAACAGCGAGAGAGCCTGAAGGTGGTAATGCTGTGTGCTCATGGCAGCCCTGAGCCGGAGTTTCCACTCAGGCCAGCGCTGCCGAGAGCAATGTGGGGCTGTGAATGGATGAGCAAGGCTTGACAGGCATGGGGCAGCCAAGAGGGTCGTGATCGGGTTACAAATTTCCGTGTTTAGCACCGTTAATGTGTTTGTTTACATCTATGTTAGCACCTTGTCCCCAGGCAGAACAACAAACCATCCAAACATTTTAAACATGAGGGGAACGGGGAGGGGGGATATCAAAGAGACAGAATCCGGGTCTGCAGCCGCAGGCAGGGATCTAGATCACCAGATCCTTGTCGATGTCCTCTGCAAAGCAAGAGAAGAGAGCAGGGTCAAGAACAAGCCCCCGGGGCCGTGCAGACGCGCCTCCCAAGGAGTCCGAGGAGTCCCCAGCGGCGGCGCCGGTGGCCAGCCCAAGGTCACCCGATTAGCTTTGGCCTCCTTGTCCACGGCCTGTCCCCGTGTCTTATGCACCCTGCCAAGTTCTACTTCCTGTTTCCTCTCCAAGGGTCAGCTTGTCTCCCAAAATAGCACTTGGCAGAGTGAAATGCTTGAATTTGAGGAAGGGATAGAAAAAGAGACAGAGAGCGGAGGATCAGACAAACACTGGAAAGAGGGAGGTCACAGAAGTCAGGGTGGAGCCAGGCTGAGAAGACTGCCAGAGAGAGGGAGAGGAGAGAGAGAGGCAGGAAGAGGCGGACCCAGAGCCTGTATCGAGACACTCACTCTCCTTGATGCCGAAGCAGCCGGCCCACTCCTCCAGGGCGATGTACTTGTCATTATCCAGGTCACAGGTCTCGAAAAAGCGGGTGGTGCAGTGCTCCATGGGGATGAGGGGCGCACGCAGCGGGGCCAGCTCAGTGTGGGACAGGTACCTGCAGGGAGCGGGCAGGAGGGAGGCCTGAGCATGGGGAGGCCTGAGCATGGGGAGGCCTGCAGCGGGGCCAGCTCAGTGTGGGACAGGGAGGCCGGAGTGTGCACTGTGAGCCTGCCCCCACAGCGCAGGAGGAAGGGCGGTCCAGTGCAGTGGCTGCGATCCTGGTCTGCCTGCCCCGTCGGGCTCTGAGTCACACGCAGCTAGCTCCCGGCTCCATCCCAGACAGGGAGGAATTGGCCCTGCTTTTAAGGGTGTTTCCTGTTCAGAGGTCTTCTGAGCTTAATAACCAATGTCTCTGTGTGTGACTGATTCCCTCCTAATTGCCTGAGGATTTGGGGCCCAGATGCTTAAAATAGCCAGTCTTTCTGTTGGCGCGCTATACATCAGAGTCAGGAGTGAAACCACACCAGGCATTTCCTACGGGCACACTGGGACAGGTTCAAGTGCCTAGAAAAGGGGCTGGCTAGGCTTGAGCCCAGAGCTTTGCTTTCCTATATTTCATGACAATAAACAAGGTCCCTTGGACCCCCACCCTGTTCTCCTGGCTGCCCAGGGGCTCCAGACACGTGTGTGATCTTATACTCAGTTCTCCAGATCCCTCACCTGCTGGTCCCTAAAACATTTCATCTCCCCAAGGGACTGCAGGGAACAAGGTGGCACTGGTATCCCTTCTTAACCTCTGGGCCTCCTGGCCGCCCCCAGCCCAGGGAAGGAATTATGGGAAGACAATTGCTCTCTCCCCTTCACTGTGCTGGCGGGGAAACAGGCCAAGGAGGAGCAGAGTTATAGCAAGGCCAGCTACAGCTCGGGGACAATGGGAAGAGGAGTCTTAGCCCAGGCTGAAGCACAGCTGCCTCTAGGGGCCTCTCCCCAGGCCCCACTGCTGCAATGGGATCCCACTGCCCAGCCTGAGCTCCAGATGTTCCCTGACTCAGCTGGATCCCAGCCAGGGCAAGAGCATGGGAGAGAAGCCACCCAGAGCTTCCCAGAGTCCAGGAGACCTCTAGCCACCCAGGACAGCCAGCACAGGGTGGGCGGGCTCCAGGCACACAGGCTGGACATACAGGGAGCATCCCAGGAGCTGCCCAGACATGAGAGCAGGGGAGCCTCCTCCTTTCCCTTCTGGGAGTTGATCTGCTCACGATGGAAGGAGGCGGTGGGGTTGAGGTCCCAGAAAGAGGGAGGTGAAGTCTTATACCACCAGGACTGGGCCCGGGTTCTCATCATCACCTGGGAAACCCTGGATGGGTGTGTGTGGGCTGTGATCAGTAACCCTGTAGGACCCACAGCAAGCTCTCAGCAAACGCTGGTCACCACCAGGACACCCCCCCTTCTTCTGTAGTGTCTTCCTAGCTCGCTAAAACAAGGTGAAGCATTCCCACATCAGGGCTGGCTCTGTGCACAGGATGGGCTCTGAACATTTTAGGAGTTTCCAGGGCCTGATGGGTCCAGTTGCGGGGGGGCTGAGCTTCAGCAGGGGGTTTGGCCACCAGTCTTAGTGTCACACTAATGGATGGTACACATGCAGATTGCCCCCGACTTGGCCCGGCCACCCATGGAGTCCAGTTCTACAGTCAGCTCACTCTCCCTGGGACAAGTGGGTGGCCAAGCCAGCTGTTGACCACTGCTGGAACAACAGAGCATCTTGCAGCTTTCTTCCGGGTTGGCACCCTCTCTCGGTTTTGTGTACCTTCTGCCTGAGCCCCCAGGCCTATCCTGGGTCCTAGACTGGGAACAGCAGAGGCTGCCAGCAAGCTCTGTTACACGTGCCAGTCTGGATCCCTGACTGTCCACTCCAGGGTCCGGCGCTGCCAAGGGACCTTACCCATCAATGGGGTGCTGGTCCAGCTGGCCGAACTGCCAGTGCACAGGGAAGATGTACATATTGTAGTTCTTCTCGAAGTCCCGGGCCAGCAGCTCCACGGGGTGGTTTCCAGCCTCCAGACGCTTCTCATTCTCGTGGATCTTCTTCACCTGTGGGAGCAGGGGGTCTTGGATGACCAAGAGGCCAGGGCAGACCGTGCAGGCCAAGCTGGGGCCAAAGCAGGCAGACAGCAGCTCAAACCAAAAAGCTCACGGTGAGGGGAAGAGAGTGGCCCAGGCAGGAGCCAGTGGCTCATTCGCAAAAGCAGAACCAGCCTATGTCAGCATCCCCTGGGCCTCCTTTCCGAGAGATGCTCTTCCAGCAGGCCAAGGTGGGAGCCAAGGAATCTGTATTTTATCAGTACCTTCAGGTGCCTGATATACCCACTAAGTTTAGGATCTGCAGACTCTTTGAAAAAAAGGCAAACCAGGGTGGTGTGTGTCTTTTGTTTAACACTGGGATCTACTGCGGGACTTCTCAGAGCCTTTAGCATGTTACCATATCCCGGGAGCTGGAGGTATGGGGAGATGAGCTTCCAGCAGGGGGGCTTGCAGCTGGGGCACAGTGCAAGGAACAGTATTGGGTCTCAGGCAGCGGACAGCAGCAGCAGCAGGGCCAGGCAGGTGTCCTGGTCAGGCTGGCTGAAGCCCACTTACTCGCAGCTTCTGCTTCTCGGTCAGGAGGTTGTTGCCCTCATCCCTCTCGTACAGGGTGACCAGGACGTTCTTGAGCCAGTCACGCATGCGCAGGGGGAATTCGCTCAGCTCAGAGTCCAGGCATGGGGGGATGTCTAGGGTACAAAGCACAGCTGGTCAGCACAGACCCTGACCCCTCTACCCGAGGGATGGCACACTGCCAAGGCTGCCTGCCTCATTCTATGCCTGACCCTCACTGCCGCTCCAGCCGGTGACCTCAGCAAAGTGACTCGTTTCTCCAGAAGACAATAAACTGCATAGGACCCCAGCAGAGGCAGGGCCTGTCCTGATGTTGTCAGTCAATGGTAGGTGTTTGAGGCCTTGAGGCTGAGGAAGAAGGGCTGTGCCCAAGCTCAGCCTGGCAAGGATGGGGATGGAGGAATCGCAAATGCTTAACTATAACTTCCTTAATCATAAGAATACCATCCTGGTATTTGGAATTTAAATGCCAGACTTGGAGATCTCGTCCTGGTTTGTCCCTCATATGGGACTTGTTAGAGGTCAACCTGGATAGCAGGGACCACTTTCAGGCCAGATAATCTGAGGCAGTGTACCCCCCTGGGAATTCAGCCTGTCCAGCCCTCATCTTCGGGCCCAGAAGAAACCCCCCTCTGTGGGCTGGGACCGTGCCTTCCTTGCCCTCCACTGGGGAAGTTGAAGCATTGAATTTCAATTTTTTTTTAAAATATTTGAAGGACCATGTCAAATACAGTTTTTGGTTTCGCTGTTTTTATCATTGTAGCTGTTGCAGTAGGAGTGATTCAGGTTAGCCTCGTAGAAGGACTTCCCCATCAGAGAGGTACAGTTGGAGGTTACTGAGTGACTCTAGAAACTTTCTGAGCATGATCTTCCATTGCCAGGCAGATGTACCCAGCTTAGGGTCAAGAGGACCTATCCCAGACAAACACCTCACTCCATTAATGAGCACTCCCCAGGCTCCGGAAGACAGAGAGATTTAGCAAAGCCCCCGCAAAGAGGGGTTGGTGCAGCCTGTCTCAGTGCCAATTAAGACCACTCTCTGAAATGCAGTTCCCAGGAAGGGCCCCCTGCACAACTCACATTTGCAAGGTCCAATGTAGTCCAGGTGGAGTTTGTGGCCCTTCTTGGTGCCCTCCAGTGTGCACTTAGTGGCAAAGAAGTGGCAGGAGGAATCGAAGGTCTTGTTGTCGTTGCTGCAAACCTATTGGCCAAGCACAGAAAGCCCCCTCCTCATTCCTGAAGTCCTTCCCTGGCTCCCCTGGCTCTGCCCATTTCAGCAATGAGGACACAGGGGGACCAAGCAAGCAGTGCTATGAGCCCAAAGTCACACAGTGAATCGGTGGTGGTATAACCGGAACCCATCCTTCAGGCTTCAGGGCCAACATTCTAACCATGCTAAGAATTACCAATAGTCTCGAACTCACTGTACCTCGACAGCCTGTACAGCCTGGGCTTCCGACGGGACAGCCTTTCCTCCCGGGAGTCTGGCATCCTAAGACATGCTAAGCAGAGGGTTCCTCTCCACTCCCACATACACTGTACGAGCTGAGGCTCTGATGGGCTTCTCTGGGCAGCACCATCACTCACCTGCAGCTGCCTTTATGTAGCTGGGGGTCATGAGTCCGCTGTATGTGACTCCTTATGCGGAGGCACAGAGTTTGCAGTCTCCACCTGGGGACTACGCCTTCACCTTTCTGCCCATGATCCTGCTGCCTATCCTTAATCTGTGGACCTTGGCTGTCTAACGCAACTATCCACTGAGTCACTTGAATCCCAGCAGATCTCTGAGTGGCCAGGCAGAGATGCCGAAGGCCCAAGTAAGAGCAGTGGCAGTGAGAGCTGGGTTAACAGCCATCGCAAACATCCCGTCTGTACACACTCAGTATTGTTTTGTGTCACTGCACAGGGGGAAGTGCTGGGCTTCAGAGAGCAACTGGGTGGAGTAGGGGATGAGAGATGATACAGAGAAATAACATGTGAAGGCCAGAGGCTGTGTGGCCATGGGGGAGACAAAGATGGAGAAGCCAGATGGAGAGTTATGCAAATACTGCTCGTAACAGATTTGCTGCTCTGAGCTACACTGCCCCTAGCACGATGACTGGCAAGAGTGGGTGGTCAAAGTCAAGTATTCAGAAGCATGGATGTGTGTGTGCATGGGAAATCTGAATAGGTCCTACTGGGATGAAATACAGAGATTGGAGAGCTTTTTACACAGGAGTATCAATGGGTTCTTGGCACGTAGCAGGCATTATCTTGCAGATGGTCAGAGCAGCCCTGGTAGTTAATGACTGTTCTCATTCTCTTTAAACATGAAAAAAACTGAGACCTAGAGATGTTCAGTAACTCAGCTAAGACCTTGCAGTGAACAAGGGTTGAGATGACGTCTGGAGCCAACCTTCGGTCTGATCCCAGAGCCCATGTCTGGGCCCTGAGCTCTGCATAGCTGTCCCAGGTAGAAAGATTGCCTGTCTCAGTGCAAGACGGGACTGACGTGTGGAGGCTGGCAGAGAGGTTGGAGCCCGACAGTGCTGGTTGCTGGGGAGACCCAGTGTCAGGCAGCGCCTCCACTCTGACTCTCTGCACTGCCCTGCTGTGACTGGATCCAGCGAGGGGACTCCTGAGCCTGCAGCTACCCCACTGCACCCCATAGCACAGATTTTGGGGCTGGACCCTTTGTTCTGCAGGGCCCAGAGCTACCCGACCCTTACCTTCTCGAACTCGCCAATGGGGGCAGGGCAGCTGGTGGGGTCCTGGCACACACACATGGGGGTGTTGTTCTCGTCCAGCTCGCACACCTTGCCATGTTTGCAGTGGTGATTCTGGCAGGGGTCTGGGAAGATGTGAGGACACTAAGTTAGCAGCACATGGGACTAGCACGTTCGCCCCAAACACATCCTGCCTAGTGCTTCGGGCAGATGACTTTGGGCAGACCGGAAGCTACTCTGCTCTTTCCCTGGGCCTCTCGGCTGCTGTTTCGGGGGCAGTTGGCTCTCTCTGGAAATCCCAGTTTGCACCTGAGGTCAAGTCAGCCATTGTTAAGGGGCCAGAGGCTCAATTTGGTAGTAGAACACACTGGGCGCCATGGGATTCCCCAAGCATTAAAGCGATCACCGTGTTCCAAGCTCGGTTTTACAATCACAGCAAGGCACTTCTGCATTCTAGAACAGCCCATCTGGGATGGACTGGAAAGTTGTCACAGAGCCAGGAAGCTGTGAGTCCCAACCAAATAACCTTAAGGAGCCGTAAAGGGAAAAGGGTCAGAGCATGGAGGCCCACAGGGACAGCAGAGGACAATAGAGGACCACAGTCACGCTCTGTCCAGTAAACACTGGAGGGAAGGGATGTGACTCAGCTGATGTCCTTCCCTTCGGCAAAAACTCTGGGCCTCCAGGGGCCCGGACCCCAGTGAGCCAAGCCTTCGGGATCTAGGCTGAATCTCCCTTTCCTCCAGCTGCTGACCTGGAGCAGGGGCCTGCTCTGCCCAGCACCAGGCCCTGACCCCAAGGCATTGTCTCCTCTTCCTCACAGCTGCCCTTGACAATGGTCTACGTTCTCCATCCTTCTCTGTGAGGAAGGGCAGGAAATCAAGGCTCAGAGAAGCAAGGCTCACTGTCACGGGGAGGCCCAGCTCCCAGCCCTGGCTGGCTGACTTCCCAGATCTGGACTTGGCTGGGAACGCCCCAGGCATGTGCTGGAACCAGCAGGCCCAGGTCATTGCTCTCTCTGTGCCACTAGCTCCCCAGAAGAGCTGTGGCCGTTTTCACCTCCTTGCTGTGTGTGGAACTCTACAACTAGACACTTCCCAGCTTCCAGGGCACCGAGAATCACTGGATTCATGGCCTTTAAATCAAATCTTCTACAACCCACAGGAGACCCCGCCCTTCACTTCCTCTAGAAGGAGGCCACAGCCCCAAGCCCAGGTGGCCCAGACACAGGGAAAGGGCTGGACCTACTTTCCACCACCACCTCCTCTTCGGTTTCCTCGACTTCTTCAAATTCACCTACTTCCACCTGCACAGGGTTGGCACCCACAGGTACCTGGGAAGGAAATCAAAGAATGAAGCAAACATCCTGTGCCCTAGACATGAAGACTGGAGGGGGGCTGCTCAAAGTTTCAGGCACCCGGAGATGAAGACTAGCTGGGAGGGTAGGCTGGGCATAGGACACAGGGCTCAAGGAGCACAGATGCCAGGGGGTGGGAATTTCAATTTCATCTCATGATTATTTGGTTAGCAATGTATCAATACATTTGTCATTAGTCATACATGTTTAAGGACCCGGTACGGTTGCCTAGCAGCTAAAGTCCTCGCCTTGCACACACCAGGATCCCAATGGGGCGCCAGTTCTAATCCCAGCAGCCCTGCTCCCATCCAGCTCCCTGCTTGTGGCCTGGGAAAGCAGTCGAGGATGGCCCAGAGGATTCAGGATCTGGGCTTCCAGCTTTGGATCAGCACAGCTCTGGCCACTGCGGCGGAATGAATCAATGGACAGAAGATCTTCCTCTCTGTCTCTCCTCCTTTCTGTATATCTGACTTTCCAATAAAGATTAAAAAAAAAAAAGTCATACATGTTTTTGTAGTACCCTAGAATCCCAAGTGCCTAGAAGCCACCCCAGTATCAGGGTCGGGGTGTCTGTGATGAGTTCAGGTGTGTGTCTGTCTGCTTCTACGTCATGTGCAGGTACAAGAAGGGAACAAATGCCCTCCATTACAGCAAGGAAGCCTGGAGCACCTACTGGGGCCAACAGAGAATAGATGTGGGCAGAAAGGAGCAAGGTTGCCACCCACGTACCTCAGCCACCTCGGCGACCTCAACCATGGTTTCCGATACCACTTCCGTCTCATCAGGCAGAGCCTCCTGCTGCTGCTAGAAAGAGAAAGTAGGGGTTCCTAGAGGTCAGGGCTGAGGCCAGCATTCCCAGGGAAGTGCTTGGGCCTGGAACACAGCTGGGGAGATTGGAGAGCAGCTCAATGCAGAGTCCCAAAGCTGTGCTAAGATGAAGGCTGACCTAGCCAAACTGTTAGCCAAAAATCCACCCATCAAGACTGTCAGTGTCCCCCACCACTCCCGCCTCTAGGAAGACAGGGGAGAGGAGCCAGGGCTTGACGGGAACTGCTACATTTGCCTGACCCCCATTTCATCCTCCTGCCCTTGGCCATGGCTTCCAAATGAGCTCTGAATAACCTGGAGTTTCCCAAGGGACTGTGTATTAGTCAAGGCCTTCTCCTCACCACCCACCCCACTCCACCCCCAACCAAGAGGCAAGGTCAGGAGCCATGCTCAGCCTGGCTGGCTCTAGGTGATCTTTTTAAAACTCCGGCACATTCTCTGCTGATGTGAAAATGGCTGGAGGTGATGCTTTCAGATGGTCTCCTTGTGGGGACTGTCCATTGGCTCTGCCACTCAGATCTAACGGCTGCGCTTGCCAGCTCGCCCCAACCCTCTGCTTTATAATCCACCCCTCAGCACTACCACCTCCGGCACCACCCCTGCCAGCCGCACCGTCACTGAATTCCTTCTATAACAATGAGGTCATTTTCTTCGAAAGCCATCCTTGGTCTATTTCTGGGAAGCACCAATTGTTGAAAAGTTCATCATCACCCACATGAAATTCTCTCTTCCCTGGAACCTTCTCCTAATGGGCCTTCTTGGGAGCTTGTCACCTTTGACAACGATTCTTTTTTGAAAAGAAGACAGCTCAATTTGAGATGGAACAGTCCTGATCGCACATGAGCATCCAGGGCTTGGGGCAGGAGGAGGGAGGCTGGCAAGATCCAGCCTTCAGATACTTACAGGGGCTGCTAAGGCCCTTCCGGCCAGGCAAACGAGAAAGAAGATCCAGGCCTTCATGATGCTGGGAACCTGCTGAGGAGAGAGATGGAGAGTTGAGCAGGTGGGAGATGGGGCAGGACCTGCTGCACTCCTGTGAGCTGCAGCATCATTTTAGATGGTGTCTGTGAAAGGACAGCGGAAACAGGGGAGGAAGCAGGTTCCCTTGGCTCCTGGGATCCTGATCGGCTCAGTTGGGTGCTCAGCTGAATCTGACATCAAACACTTCTGCCTCTTTCTTTTTAATAAAAGGAGCAGCCACCCTCTGACTCAACCTCCCAACAGGAAGCTCTAGGGAGCTAGAGTTGAATGAAGTTTTGTTTCCCCTCTGTTTATTTTTATAGCTTCCTTCTATTTATGACAAAGGCACATAGATGTTTCCATTTATGGTTACACTGTAAGGTCTCCTTTCTTGATGTATTTATTTAATTAATAACTAATTATTCGCATTTAGGCAGTAACCAAGCCAGAGAGCATCTCCAAGGGCTCCCTAACCCCTGATGCTCTGAAGATTCAGGTTCTTCCTCCTCCTTCAGTCTCCTGACTCTGCAACAGGAGACACAAAAAGGCAGCAGCCTCTCGCCAACGCAGCAGTAGTCTTGCAGTGTGAGCTGGGCAGACCTGCAGATGGTCCCGTTTGTCTCCATGTGACCCGGAAGGGACAACACCACTGAGGTCTGGAGAACTGTCCTGCCCTGCTTGCTGCTAGGACCTTCACTCTCTGGAGGCTGGGCGCAAGGCTCAGACACTCACTCTTCTAAGGAACCTCAGAGAAGAATCCTCTGAACACCTTCCGGGCCCCTCCCCTCCCCCTTCCACAGCCACACAGAAATCTGCTTCCTCTGCCTCGTGAGCTGACTTAAAACTTCCACATCAGGCTCATCATCCCTAGTTGCTTTCTGGACTTCTCAACTGACCAAGCATGATGGTCGGAGCTACCCCGGGAAAATACACTCAGCTTGGCACATGCTGGCCTTAGCGTTTGCCACCCATCTTCGCTTGGGTTATTTATGCAGCTGGAAGAGATACAGGAATATCTAATTTCATAAGAGAGCTAAAATCTTAATCTCCCTTCCGCCCATTTCATGCAGTCTGCAGGAAATAAGATAGCAGGAACTTAAAGGAATTGACCAGGAGGTTTGGCGCCACTGCATGATACCCTTAACTCCCAGAGGGGCCCGTCTTCGCTTTCCAGGCGGTTTCTGGAATAGTCAGCCCCTCCCTGCACACCGTTGCTCACTTGTTCCCTCAGACTTAAGTGGAAAAGATTTTCTTCCCGTCTTCTTCATTTGGAAGGTACAAGTAAAAGAATCCCTACCGGTGGCTTTGGACGAACGGAACAGGAGAGAAAACATCAACAAAGGACTTGTCTGGGGCTGAAGGTCAAGGAGAGATCAGTGGCTAAAACAAAAGAGAATCACCCTATCTAGGGAGTAACGTACCCCAGAGAGGTCACGTACCCCAGGGAGGGCCCAGCTAGGACTGGAAATGATAAAAAGCTTCATGTTTAGGGAGTCAGGAAGATGGACGCTTCCTGAGCCCACGTCCTTCACCTGGGCAGATTCCCGCTGCCCGCCAGATCCAGGGAAAGGTTTTGCTGGTTGACGCTTCTGCCCGTCCCACCACCCTTCCCAGCTGCTCGCCCATCTGCTCTGTTATGCCATCCTTTGTTCTAGATCTTGAAGTGCTTCCTAAAGTTCTCTCTCATGCACTCTCTCACTCTGGAGCCTAGTGACAGCCCTGGGCTACAGGCAGATATACCACGGCCTGAGTCCCACCTCTCTGCGGAGTGGCCTGAGCTAGAAAGGAAGCAAGTCAGGTCCAACCTCAGCCAGCAGTGCTCAAGTCCGTCTGAACCGGGGAGCCTCGCTGCTCGGAGGCAGGCTGCATTCTAACAGAGACTGTGATCAGAGGCTGGGTGGGAAACACACGCAGGAGGACCGTTAGGGACACGAGATCTTGGCGAGGAGTTGTTTTCCAGTTTGGGATCTGCCCACTTTGTTCATCGGTCCTCCAGATGAGGGGATGCAGGGCAGGGAAGCAGCTGCGCTGGTCTGGAAGCACAACCTTCCGCTCTGAGCATACACAGAGGGTACTTCTCCACATTCCTCTAAAACACCCCTGGCCAAAGAGGCTGGGGTCACCCTGCAAAGCTAGCAGGGTCCCGTGATCAGGACGCATCAGCTGTGCTCCTCCAGCACCAGGCCCTTTGTACACAACACTCCTCATGTAAGTGGCTAACACCGGATTGAGAACTCCCTCCTCGGAGTTATTTTATATATTATGTTATAGTGTATTTTATTTATAATTATTTTGTATTATTTCATAGCAATGTGTATATTTACCTTTTTATAGTCAAGCAACCTACTGGGAACTCAAGGCACATTTCCCTTCCTAAACAGCGTAGATGAAAAAACTGAGGCTTACAACAGGGGGGCAGGATCTGCCCAAAGCCAATAGCTCCAGTGCAGGGGCGGCAGGACTGGGGTGAGGCCCCAGGAGGCTCCCTCCACCACGGGCAGTTTCTCAGCCTCAAACACTATTTCGCTTGGCAGTCACTCTCTCCCTAGGTGGTCACCTGAAAGGGACCCAGTGGAGCAGTGAGCTGCCTGAAGTGTTGGAAGGAAAACCACTCTGGGCCATGGAAGGAAGAGGAGGTATATTTCCCTTGGCTGAGTGGCCACCAAACACAGACACCCCTCACCCCCACCCCACCACCACCGCCTCCTGTTCCGTACATCGCGTCCTTTCCTCTGGCCTTTATTTGCTCTGGAGATGGCTGAAAACCCATCCCTGGCTGCCAGCAGGACCTGAAGCTGAGGTCACTCGTCTGTCTTTGGAAGGACCGTAGGGATGGAAAAGTACAGCCAGCCCCCAGTCCATCTCCCCTCCAGAATATACTGGGTCCCCTTTGGGCTTTCCCTGGACACTGAGAAGTTGATGTCAATACTGGGAAAAATCTCAGCATGCTACGATTTTAGACTGTGGTTCTGGGCATCTCAGAGGCTTAGAATGCAGAGCACAGAATCTGAGCTGTAACCACAGGCTTGGATTGGAGCGGAAAGAGTTTATGGAGCAAGGCGACCCAACAGAACTTTCTGAGGTCATCAGAATATTCTATAGCGACACTGTCCAACATGGTGGCTGCTGAACACACGTGGTTACCGAACACTCGGACTGTTGCTAATGCAAATGAAGGACTGAATGTGAAGTTGTGTTTCACCTCAGTGGGTTTAAGCATCAATAGTCACATGCAGCTAGTGCCTTCCATAGTACTGAGAGTAGTCTGTAAAAAGAGAAGTTCACGGCCTCTAGAGCCAGCATGTGCAGGTTCAAGGCTGACTCGGCCACTTGGCCATTGTGTGATCTTCAGAAATCAACCTTCCCTCTCTGGGCCTCAATTTAGCAATACCTACCTTCAAAGGTGATTGACACAAGAGAATACAAGTAAAAAAAACAAGCAAGGTTTGGAAGAACCTCCTTTTAAAAACCCAGATTCTCCATCTCCCTCAAGAATCCAATCTTAGTTCTCTGCTGTTACGCCTGTGGAGAAAGGGGTTTGGGGGGGAGGGTGTGGAACAAAGGATATATTGCTCCTGTCTGAAGGATGCCAGCCCAGCCTCCAGAGGACACAGCAAGCAAGGCCAGCATCTAAGCTGGGCTGCTGACGCAAGCCAAGCATCTCACTCCCACCATTTGGACTAGAAACAAAGGTTCCAGAAACACATGTTGGTGGTAAACAAACCCGAGGGAAAACAAAGAGGGAAACAAAGTCTGAAGCTAAGAAAAGGAAGCCAGGAGCCAGGAGCCAGCCCCCTACTCCCAGCTGCACCTCAGAAGGAGGGAGGGGGCCGTCCCCGCAGAGCTGCGCCTCCAGGGAGGTGGGGGCCCAATCAGGTCAGCTGTGCTGCATAAGCTTGGGGAAGTCTCTGCTCTCCTGTAGCATGAGGAGGTGATTGCGGATGAATAGTGTTCAACATGACGCCAGTCCAGAGGATCCTTTTCTTCCAGGGAAGTCTTCTCCAGAGGACCAAGATTCAAACACCTGGAACCTTCCATCATTTGCTGAAACGTGTGAAGGCAGTATGATTCCTCCATCAACACGCAGGAAGTGGCCAGGCAGAGTGGAGCTGGGCTCTACACACACTGTCCAGAGACAGGGTGAAGCGCCTCGGGTTCTCCCAGTAATACAGGTGGAAACCCTTGGCCACGGTGCCCCCTGGTTTCCTTTCAACTCTGACGTTTCGAGTCATCACTCAACTAGAGGAGCATCTGTCCTAACTTACACTTTGACTTCCTGTTCCCGTTTCTATATGTTCTTGCCGGAAGGGAAGAAGCTAAGGGGAATCTGTAGAGCATCGTGGATGCTAAGGCCCAGGACTGAAGGGTTTCTGGGGTAAGTCAGAGGCAGCTCCAGAGTTTCAGGCTACAATCAGCCTGAGATGCCACGTTTCACTGTGGCTAGCAGAAGCTGGGGGTGGAGCCGCCTGTTTGCTCCTTGGTTCCCTCTTGTGGGGAAAGGAGGCATTGCTGAATCATAGGGGACCACAAATGGAGGGGATGAGAAAGAACATTGCAGGATGGAGGCTGTCACGTGTGCAAAGCCTGAGAGACCCCAAAGAGGGTAAACACACGGCACATCCACCTCAGGGGCCCTTCCTTAACGTGGCAGACGTGATTAATCAATCTAATGGCCTTTTCCCAAGATCTGGCAGAGCACTAAGATTCTGACCACAGTACTGGCGGCCACTACCCAGGGAGTGATGGTGTCAACCCACGAGATATGTCTTTGCCAACTCTTTATCCTAGAGAGAAGCTGAGCTTTAGAGAGAGAAAATGATCCTCTCAAGGCAAGACAGCGCAAACTGGGGACCTCCCAATAAGAGTTGTTGGAAGTTTCTGGATGAACCCAGCTCTTCAAAGAGCTGGTGTCTCTGGTTATATTTTCCTACAGAAATCAAGCTGGCATTATAGGTAAGGACTGATTTCCCAGCGAACACATCTCCTAACTGGACAGAGTTGTGGCACAGCAAGTAAGGCCACCTCCTGCGATACCAGCATCCTGTACGGGTGCCGATTCACATCCTGGCAGCTCCACTTCTAATCCAGCTCCCTGCTAATACACCTAGGAAAAACATCAGAGAGTAGTCCAAGTGCTTGGGTCCCTGTACTCATGTTAGGGACCCAAAAAACAGGCTCTGGGCTCCTAACTTCAGGGCAGCTTACCCCGGCCCTATGGAGTGCGAACCAGCACATGGGAAGATCTTTCTCCCTTTCTCTCTATAAAACTCTCCTGGTTGAGCAGGTAGCTAACTCTGACAAGTCCTTATTTGCTAACCCTGTCCTTGGGATCCATGTTGGGTTAGCGGGAAAAAAGGAGACACCAGGTCCTACTTTATGAAGAAAGGGCAGTTTCATCGACTACTAGAGTTGGCTAAAACCTCGGGAACAGACTTTTCTCTATTTAAGACAGAGAAGAGGGAGGGAGCCAGCAGGAAGCAGACAAGGCCCTACCTATCAACCATTTTGAGCTGGGTCTTTGGGCCCAATGCCAAAGCCACGTGGGCTAGGATGGAGCAGGAGAAGATGCTGCTGGTCACTTGTTAATCCTAATGAATAATACAGAAAAATGCTAGTTATTCATAGGGCTTGCTGCCCATAGAGCCTAAAAGAGGACACTTCTGGGTAGTTCTAAACATCTGGGAACTTAATCTCAGACTCCATTCTGCTGGTTGACCTCAAGTGAGTGGTTTTTCCTTCCTGGGGCTCAAGTTCTCTGCCTCTAACATAGAGAAGTAGTCAGGTGATATGCAAGGGTTATGTGTGTCTGCTGGTCATGATCCATGGTGTTTGCACATCTGTGCGTGGCTGACAGCAGCAGTGGGTGCTCGCACGCCTGACGGTGCATCTGCAGAAGCTTCATGTAGCCTCGAAGGCTTCGTCATGAAACTGCACTGTGGGCACCACTGAGCCAGCATGTGTCTGCTTTAGCCATGACAGGTGGAGGTCAGGGTTTTCACATGTTTGGAGATGTATTCCTGGAATGTGTATACGTGTTCAAGTCCGGATCAGTCAGTAAGATGTATGGGAGTACCCTGAGATGCTTATTTTCAGCTGTGCTGGGAGTGTCTGCTGGCAAAATCACTGTTTATGCTCTGCCTCCCTCGGGTTTGTGTCTGTCCCTATTTATCTCCACATGCTTGTCTACACGCCTAAATAATCTCAAAAGCCAAAGGACCTGTTTACCTCACATCCGTCTATCATCTATTTCCAGCAACGGATGCTGCCCCTGCAAACAGCCAACTTCAGCCTTGCAGGTGGGTCAAGATTTTAACATGACCACCACATAACCCAGGAACCCCTGATCCCTGCCCTCCTGTTTTTTTGGTGGGACTTGGGAGCTGAAAAACTACCTGGAGACCATCTAACTTAGATTTCCCCCCTCCGCTACCCTTTGCAAATTGGGAAACTGAGGCCCAGAGAGGGGAAGTGTCTTTCCCTGTGTCCCACATTTGAGTTAGAGCTTGTACCTGCTTTCCATCTCAGCCAGTGCTCTTTCTTCAGTGTTGGACACAACACTCTTGGGACCTAGACGGGAAGGTTTCTATATAGAATGCATTTAAACAATATTATTTTAAAAGTATGTTGGCACTTTTTAGCAACGGGAACTTCTAACCAACTCCTGAGATGATGGAGCTGCCAGAGAACAGGCTGGGACCGGTTTCGCTGGGTCTCTGATGCTCAAAAAGCCCCTCCTATCAGAGCTTTAGGTGGAGACATCTCAGTCCCTGGTCCCATCCTGCTCACACACATCTGCAGGAAATGCTGCTGGCCTTGCTCTTGAACCAGGAGGAAACCAGGGCTCTCGGAGGAAAAGTGAGGAGTTCAAGGTCGCACAGCACTGTCAGGGCAGAACTAGAACTAGAACCCAGGGCTTTACCCACCCAGCCCAGGAACCTTCCTGTAGCCTACCACTCCTCTGGGGCGCTAAGGGAATCAGAGGGGCAGGGCCGAGGGTTTGCTGTAATCCTGGTATTTGGGGCTGGGGTCGAGCAAGGGACAGGCCAAGGGAGCCTGATGTTCTCAGAGTGTTCCCTGGCGTCCCCTCCCTGCAGTCAGAGACCCTGAAAAAAAGGTTACCGTGGCAACTCGCATTCCTCAGAGAGTGAGTCACTGGCTGAGAGGAGCCTTTCAGTGGGTGGGACTTGGAGAAAGTTTCAGAAGTTGATTCCTTCTCCAGGCAACCCCCTCCACCCCTCCCTCCCCCTCTCCACACCAGGCTTTGTCGATGTGGCAGCTGATGGCTTCCAGTTAACTCTCTCTTTCCCAGCCACTCCCAGAGCAAAACTGCTCAACCTCCTCTAATGAGCTCTGTTTCTAGTCCCGACTTCATTCCTAGCTGTATCATGCCCTCTGCCCATTTAGAGGATTCTGCACCTATGTGCGAAAATCTTCAAACTGAAAATTATCAATTCTCTCTCTCTCTCTCACACACACACACACCTCTAAGGGGCTTGTGGATGCTTTGAAGTCCATCCCAATGTCAGTCCGCATGTCCCAGTTAAGAGACTTGCTTGGAAAGTTGGAGGGGACACAGGGTACTCCAATTGAGCCCTACCCTCTTCCTTTGCAGACAGCAAAGCTAAATGCAAGGAAGACACCAAACCAAGATCAAGCATAAAATGCCAGCCTCAGGCCTGCCATGCCAGCATTGAGGACACCCTCCTGCGATGCTGGGAAGAACTCCCGCCCATGAGCACCTGCAGTTTGGCCAGCCTCACCCCAGCACCCACTCACAGTTGGTGCCCCTTGGTACACTCATGAAGTCCACTCAACATGCAGTCAGTGGAGCCAAGAGACAGCAGAGTGTGGAGGCCGGGCTGAAAAAGCCCTAACACCCTGACCTGTTGTACACTCGTTCCACACAAGGGGTCTATCATGGGATGGGAACCTCTTCGCCCTTTTCAGCATCTCCTGGCCATACCCTCCCACCCCTACCTTGGCTGGACGCTGACATCCAAACTCTCCAGATCCAGCTTGCGAAGGGGTCCTACTGGTCAGTCCCCTGTGTGGCCCGTCCCGGGGAACCCACGCCAGCTGCGATGCCTGACCCAGGACCAACTGTGCCTGATGCCAGTTCTGGCCCAATGGCACCCACATCAGGGGTGGGGTTGGGGAGGCAAACAGGAGCAGGAACCTTCCTGGGGTGCTAGGAGTAAGGCCTCCCTTGCAGACCCCAATTTCTGCTCTGTGCCAAGTTCGTTACAGAAAATGGAGCACCTGATCAAGAACCAAGGCTTTTCCCGCGACCCACCCTCGGCCAGGGCAGGGTGGGCCCGGCTGCTGGCCAGGTCCTTGGGGCAACTGTGATGTGATCCGATTCCCGGGAAAGGAGCTGGCAGCCACGTTTAAAAAGGGACAAAGAGGGATAAGCAGGAAGCCTCTGAAACCAGAAAGACACAGCGAGAATCAAGGGGTGGGAATGTGCAGAGAGAGAGAGAGACTCAAAGACAGCGGCAAATCTCCTGCAAACCTGAAAAGGAACTTGAGTGCCTCCGTGAGTCTCCTGAAAAGCAACAGGCAGCCTGAGCCGAGCAGGATGGAGCCCACAGGCACCGGAGCTGGGGGTCCAAGGAAGGGCTGGAGGGGAGGATGGTACCTCAGTGGCAGAAGGCAGCAGGCAGAGCTCTCTCTCCGGGCAGTCTGAAGTCCTGCAGGAATGTGGAAGGGTTTAGAGTCGGCAACAGGAAACCACTCCGAGCTAGGGGCTGGGTCTCTCTCCCCTCCACCCAGTGCCGCCTCCTCTGTCTCCTCCTTCCCGCTCACTCCCCCCTCCTCCTCTCTGCTTAACCAAAACTGCCTCTGTCCTTCGTGTCTTTCTTGCTTCCCTTGTGTTGGGCTGTCCTAACCAAACGCGCCATCCTGCCTGCCTTGTGGGTTTTGGGGCTGCCGCCTGCTGTCAGACTCACCGAGTGCCAGGGCTGTGGAGGGTTAGAAGAACCTCCTCCCTTGTGTGAGGAGAACTGAGGCCTGCGGTGGCAGGTGTGCAAAGAATGGTGTGCAAAGAATTAGCCGGGGCGCCCCCAGGCAGGGCCAGGCCTGTATGTCCTGTCTTCAGAGCAGAGGGAATCTTTCTAAGACTCCTCCCAAGTATTGGGCAATGTTAGGTCATGCAAGGCGCCTCTAGGGATTTTGACAAATGCAGGGCCAGGACTTCTGTACAGACAAGGCATCCATCATTTTGGCTAGTTTGGGATTTGACATAAACAAGAGGAAATTAACTCCACTCTAACTCCAGTTGCACCATTGATAGACGCAAGGATGCTTAGACGTCCATGTGGGGGACCTGTGTCCCCAGAATAGAACAGATAAGGTGACTGTGATAGTATCAACAATAGCCTAGCAGTTACAATCGCCAGGATTGAAAGAATTTTTCTGTCTTTCCAGCATTGCCCAAGGCGACAGGGTGGGAGAGGGAAGGGAAGGGGTTGCCTAGGATGGCTGGCTAACTGCTGCCTCTGAGCAAGCTGGCACCACGTTTCAACTCTGGGGGTGCGCAAGGTGCTCAGAGGAGCTGGGTGTCTACCGTGGGCCCTCACTCTGGGGGGTTACACGCATGAATACCTGGCTTTGTCCTCAAAAGAAAGAACAGTCCTTTCCCTCGCAGTGAGCAGGACAAGTTTATTCTAGAGATACCACGGACAGGGAGGAGGAGGCAGGGAAAACACTGGTGTGATAAACACGTGCACGGAAGCCCCTGCCAGTCTGTGCTGTCCTTGCCTCTCACCACTCTCCTTGCCTTCTTCACTCTGGGTACGCTGGCATCCATTCAGTTCCTCATCTTCCCCAAAGCTGTCTCCACCCCACGCTCTTTACACTTGCTCTTATTTCTTGCAGAAACACTTTTTTTTTTTAAATTTACTTATTTTTATTGGAAAGGCAGATACACAGAGAGGAGCAGAGACAGGAAGATCTTCCCTCTGATGAATTACTGCTCAAGTGGCCACAACAGCCGAAATCCAATCCAAAGCCAGGAGCCTCTTCCTGATCTGCCACGCGGGTGCAGGGTCCCAAGGCTTTGAACCGTTCTCAGCTGCTTCCCCAGACCACCAGCAGGGAGCTGGATGGGAAGTGGAGGTGCCGGGATTAGACCTGGCGACCATATGGAATCCTGGTGCGTTCAAGGTGAGGACTTCAGCCACTAGGCTACCACGCTGGGTCCCAGAAACACTTTTCCCTCTGATTGGCCTATACCTCACCCTTCCTTATCCTTCAGGTCACCCCTTCAGTGAGGCTGCCCTGACCCCTCACACAGGCACAGTTCATCACCTTGCAGTGCTCTAACCTCCTCTCTCCTGCTCAGTGGAATAGGGTGAGAACACAGGACCTTCCAGCACCGTGTTCAAAGCAGGGTTCTGTGCATGGAATGGTGGCTTGCCCGAAGTCGGCTACCAATGGATGCTTTTACAGTAAATGAGTGAACTTCCATTCGCTCATCTGAGTAGCGTTGTCTTCTACTGAAGTTCCACTCAAGAGCAATGTCCAACCTTAGTCTTCAAGGGACCCTCAAATTGACAAATACTGAATAGAGAAGTTGGTGCAGAATAGAGAAGTTTTCAGCAGAGAAAACTCGCAGCTTCCTCCCAAGTTCCCAAGAGGCCTCAGCAGGAATTCAAGAAGAAACCTCTGCTCCAGATAACCGCCGAGGCTGCCTGCTGGTCCCAAAGCCAAGAGCGTCTGGCCTCTGTTGAGCATAGGGTGTGGCAAATGCCCCAGATATCTGCTGAGCCATCTGGGCAGATGTATATTTTTATAGAATCGGTTGCTATAGCTCCCAGGCATTGTGACTAAAATTAACTGGAGCCTTGTGTTTTTCTTCTCAAACTAAGCTGATAATTTGTATTTTTCTTCCCAAACTAAGCTTATGATGGCTGAGGACAAGCCTGTGGGGCTCGTCCCCGTCTCTGGCTGGAGTTCTCATGGGGCCTTTGCTTGAAGAGTTGAGAGCAGGTTGGGACTAAGTTGAAACTCTGCGGTGGAGATGTCGCTGGGGGCCACTCTCACGCCAGTCTATGAAGACCACCTGTTCCCGTCTCACTTTTAAACACTATCATTAGTTTCTACCCTCTTAAGGGGTAGACTTCGGGGACAAAATCCTCATCACACGAATCTTTGGGAGTCATTCAATAGCCTTGGGAGTATCTAAACCATGCATTCCTTTTGTAGATGTGGGAAATTAAGTTCAGCTCAGTAAGTTTCACAAGGTGGTACAAGCAGGAGTTGGAAGCCAGGCCTGGAGGCTACCACAGCCCCAGTGTCGGAGCAGATCCTCCACCCATCCTATTGTATCCTCCGCTAGGATACATAACACAAACTCATTGCTTAAAAAACAGTACTTGGCGGGAGCTTGGGGGGGGGGGTGGATTCCAGTCTGTATGAAATTGTACCACAAAATTCAAAAATTCAAAATAAAGATATAACAACAACAACAACAAAACAGTACCCATTTGGGGCCCGGCGCAGTGGCCTAGCGGCTAAAGTCCTTGTCTTGAACGTGCTGGGATTCCGTATGGTCAACAGTTCTAATCCCAGCAGCCTCACTTTCCATCTAGCGCCCTGCTATGGCCTGGGAAAGTAGTTGAGGACAGCCCAAGGCCTTGGGACCCTGCACCCAATCTTTTTCAGATTTAAAATAAAAAGATTTATTTATTGTTATTGGAAAGTCAGCTATACAGAGAGGAGGAGACAGAGAGGAAGATCTTCGCTCCGATGATTCACTCCCCAAGTGACTGCAACTGCCGGAACTGTGCAGATCCAAAGCCAGGAGCCAGGAGCTCTCCCGGTGCTCCCATGCGGGTGCAGGGTCCCAAGGCTTTGGACTGTCCTCAACTGCTTTCCCAGGGCACAAGCAGAGAGCTGGATGGGAAGCAGGGCCGCCGGGATTAGATCCAGCAACCATATGGGATCCTGGCGCATTCAAGACGAGAACTTTAGCTGCTAGGCCATGGCACCGGGCCCAATAAATAAATCTTAAAAAAAAAAAAAAAAAAAAAAGGTACCCATTTGAAGTCTTTCAGTTAAGGATCCCAGAAGGCCTAAAATCATAGGGTCACAGAACTGCGTTCTTCAGACTGCACAAGACAATGATCTGTGTGCTAGCTTGTTGTAGCTTCCAGCATCCACATACATCCCTTGGCTCCTGGCTCTTCCCCCATCTGAAGTAAGACCTCCCCACTCTGCTTCCTCCTTTGCCTCTTTTTCGAACCTTTGACTCTCTGGGCTCGGTCAGCCGTATTAACACTCTTTTGGTTCTGTTGACTCCAGCTAGATCATCTAGGATAATGGCACCATTGCCTAGTCCTAAACACAATGAGAAAGCTCAATGGCTCAACCCCAGACTCCTACTCCTGGTGACTTCTCTGTACACACCTCTGCCTCTTCCGCCCAAGATTGCCTCCCCTGCCTCCCCTGTCCTAGCTCCCCCCATCCTTTAAACCCCAGAATAGATCTCTCCCATCCTTTCGAAGCTGAGAGTACATTGGACCCTTCAACTCTATGCAATCCCAAACTCTCCTTATATGGCTGGGGAAACGGGGCTTCTAGAGCCCAACGTGACATTGTGGACAGCTGAGCTTGACTGAGTCTCACAACTCCAGGCCAGTATTGGGGCCAGATCTAGCTTGCTCCAAATCTCTGGAGGCAAGGACAGGAGGAACTAACTCCCTCGAGCTACGGATTATGTATCAAAACTCTCAAATGTACCCTTTGTGTCACTGGCTCAAAGTCAAGGCTGCCAAGCTAAAAAGGCTCAGGCATTGGAAACTGACTCAGCCTATAGCCTTGTTATTGTATCTCTCTCTGGGCTGCCCTTCCCAGTGGCAACAGGGCACAAAGACCCCATTGTTGGTCCCCTGGGCAGGGTGGCTGCTGACAAGGGCAAGGCCAAACAGAGGCGATGAGACCTGGTTTCAACGCAGACCCTCTTGGCAGCAAGCAGTGCTAGGCTTGCTCCTACAGCTTTCAAGGACACACAGAGAACTTTTATCCCCTGAATATCATCAAGAGGCACGTTTCTTTGTGGTAGAGAAGTCAGGATTCGTGGAGCACATTTGGGGCTGGGGCAGGTGGAGACAGTTGCCCAGTGTCATTCAGTGGACACAAGGAAGAGCTGAAATGGAAATCCTCAGACTTTTTTTTTTTAAGATTTATTTATTGTGGGCCTGGCACAGTGGCCTAGTGGCTAAAGTCCTAATCTTGAACACGCCAGGATCCCATAGGGTCACCAGTTCTAATCTTGGTAGCCCCACTTCCCATCCAGCTCCCTGTTTGTGGCCTGGGAAAGCAGTCAAGGATGGCCCAAGGCCTTGGGACCCTGCGCCCATGTGGGAGACCTGGAAGAAGTTCCCGGATCCTGACTTCGGATTGGTGCAGCACCAACCGTTGCGGTCACCTGGGGAGTGAATCATCGGACGGAAGATCTTCCTCTCTGTATATCTGACTTTGCAGTAAAAATAAAATAAATTCTAAAAAAGATTTATTTATTGCAAAGGCAGAGTAACAGAGAGAGTGGGAAAGTTAGAGAGATCTTCCATCTGCTGGTTTACTCCCAATGTCTTCAATGGCCAGAGCTGGGCCTGGCTGAAACCAACAGCCTGGAGATTCTTCCTGGTCTCCCACATGGGTACTGGGCCCAAGCACTTGGACCGTATTCTGCTGCTTTCCCAAGTGCATTAGCAGGGAGCTGGATTAGG